GGGGGCGGGGGCTGGGGGAGGGGGGCGGGACCCAGGCCCCCGAGGGGGAGTGGGGTGAGCTTGGCCTGGATGGAGACTCCTGGAGTATGTCAGGATTGGAGCAGGGGGGAGTCGGGGGGCTCCCAGGATGGGGTGGGGCTCTCTCGTAGGAGGACTCGGGCTCTCTGTCACCCATTCACAGAGACAGCTTGTTAGCATCAGCTCCCCTCACCTTAGTTAGGGTCGTTGCCATCAGCTGAGGGAACCCTTTCTATCCGAGGTGGGCCGAAAGGAGAGCACATGTGTGCACCTTGAGGGGAGGGGCCAGCCAGGATCCTGCCCCACTCAGCATTTCCTCGGGGGAGGCACTTTTTGCTCCCATCCTGCAACTTTCCACCTCGTTCTTAAAGAGCCTTTGTTTTATTTGATAGGTAAAGTTGTCCCGTCCCGGGATAGTGCCAGAGGGCGTCTCCGTGCAGTGAGAAGTGACTGCTTGATTAAAGGCGAACATGTTCCACTCTTGCCCCCAGAATGTCTCCCCATTTCAGTGTGGGAACCACGGTCGGCTTTATCCATCCATCTGGCACCAGATATATATACTGGGAGTACGGTGCAGTGGGTGAAGGAAGGCACACCTCAGCCGCTCCGACTCTCCCCTCTCTCCAGATCCTAGGGAGAGGTCCCCTCTCCCAGCTGTCTTAATCACCTTTGCAGTTTCTAGGAAAGGCTTCCCTCCCACCCCAAATTTAATCCCTTTGGTTGGATAATTTTTTCTCAACCTCTGACTTCTTTTGTACTGCGGCCTTAGCCTCTTGCCCTGTTTTGGGTAGAAAGCCTGAGTTTTTAAATGTATGTAGTGTAAGCGGTTTCCTCTCTAGGCTTGCAGCAGAAGGGGTCCGGGTGATGATGGTTGACGGGCCCTCCCCTCTCTTCCTCCAGGGGGAGCTCCTGAGCCCTTGCCGCTGTGACGGCTCAGTGCGCTGTACACACCAGCCCTGCCTCATCCGCTGGATCAGTGAGAGGGGCTCCTGGAGCTGTGAACTCTGCTACTTCAAGTACCAGGTCCTGGCCATCAGCACCAAGAACCCACTGCAGGTGAGGTGCTGGGAGAGGACTCAGAATGGGCGAAGGCCTAGTTCATCTTATTAACTGTTTTCCCAAAGCCACCTCCCTGCCCCATTATGGCATTCCAAGATACTTATGTTGTGGCCCTGTGTTCTAGAGCACTTCGAACAACGGAGGTGGGGTGTATAATGTTAATGATGATAGTGAATATACTCTGTTTCCTGTATGTCATTTGCTGTTTATTAACTCTTTTAACCAGGTACCATTATTTCGCCTGTCTTTAGAAACAAGGGCACTGACACCCATAGAGACTAAAATACTTGTCTAAAATGACTCAACTAGTTAAGAGATGGAGTTAAGATTGGAGTGCCAACCTGTACGTTTGGGTTTCAAAACACTTGTCCAATCCTGCCTTTCTTGACAAGTGGTGGTCTCATTGTAGCTTAGATAGGGACATGGAGAAGACAGATTTTTAGCCCTGCCTGAAAAGTTTAGGAGAGACTTCTGGAGTCTTCTCTTCAGGGTAGCCCATCACCCCACTGCCTAGCCCTTCCCATGACTTTTTGGAGCATCTTTCTCCCAAACAGTGGCAGGCCATCTCCCGGACTGTGATTGAGAAGGTCCAGATTGCTGCCATAGTTCTGGGCTCCCTGTTCCTCGTCGCCAGCATCTCCTGGCTCATCTGGTCCTCACTTAGCCCTTCAGCCAAGTGGCAGCGCCAGGACCTGCTCTTCCAGATCTGCTACGGCATGTACGGCTTCATGGATGTTGTCTGCATAGGTGAGACACAGATCCCCAAGCCACAAACACCAGCACCCCACCACCACCCCCCCCCATAGGGCTGCCCTGGGTCCCTGTCCTCTGTAGCGTCTTCTCAGTCTGCAGAAAGGAGTGCTCAAGGACCCATGACCTATGTGTGGGCAGCATTTCACCCTGGTTTCTTCATTCCTTTTGTTCAGGCCTCATCGTTCATGAAGGCTCTTCTGTCTACCGCATCTTCAAGCGCTGGCAGGCAGTGAACCAACAGTGGAAGGTCCTGAATTATGACAAGACCAAGGACATAGGAGGAGATGCAGGGGGAGGGACAGCAGGGAAGCCAGGCCCCAGGACCTCACGGACCAGCCCCCCTGCCGGGGCCCCCAGCCGGCCCCCAGCTGCCCAGCGCATGCGGACGCTCTTGCCTCAGCGCTGTGGTTATACAATCCTGCATCTCCTTGGACAGCTACGGCCACCAGATGCCCGGTCCAGCTCTCATTCAGGACGAGAGGTTGTCATGAGGGTCACCACAGTTTGACCTGGACTCCAGGGCCAGGGATCTCAAGTCAGAGTGACAGCCAGAGACGAGCTCTCCTGGCTGCTGGAGGTACGACCTAGACAAAGTGTTTGGGGCACAGTGGCCCCACCACTGAGGATCTCTGTGGACAGCCTCAAGCTTGGAGACATTGTCTGGCCTCTACTGCCCACGGGGTAGAGACACCTGGATGACATTCCAACTCCCACTGATACCGCCTCATACTCATCTTGAGGATGGCCAGCAGGCAAGCAGGGAGAACAGCTTTTCTTCTTGGAGAGAACCATCTTTACCTCAGCTCTAGGGCCTCCAGTCCCCTGGCTCCACCATGGTGACTTGGTAAAGGGAGACCAATGCCAGAATAAAAAGGGGCTGTAGACTCCCCCATTCCCCACCCCATGGCCACAGGGCATCTGGCAATAAGACTCGTAAACATTGACCTCCCGTTCCCTGCATGAGGGCGGGGGACCTCCCCCCTGCACCACCCCCCATTGCATGGGGGAAGGGCATAAAGAATCATTTATATGCACGTGGAGACTCCTTTCTCATCTGGGGCTTTTCCGAAGGGCTGGAGGGCACCGGGAGGTTCCTCAGCACAGGTGCATTTGGTGTTGGAGGAGGGACTCCTGTTTGCCAGTGGACAGTTCACATTGGCTGCTAGGTGGCGGTGCTCAGAGGTAGCACAGGACGGTGGACTGGCCACCTGTGAGTTACATGATTTAGAAAAAAAAAATCTGGAGGGACGATGGGTTAAATGCTGCTACAAAGAAAATTGATAATGGTATAAAAGGAGTTGGACTAGTTGAGGCTCCACTTATTTCAAGTGGTAGGTGGTATAGCAAATCCAAAAACCTGTTTTTGTTTTTTTGTTTTTTTTTTTTGTCAGATGTGGCACAGAACTTTAGCATTTTGAGTGACAAAATAGATACAGAAACAAAAGGAGAAATAGACACAGTGGCTGTGCAGGACGGTGGTTATTGCAGGAATGAGAACGCTTTTGACCCTCCGAACTATGGATGTGGGGGATGCTGGAGCCATTCAGCCTATCTGAGAATGCCTGTGTTCTATCAGTCCTTCCTTTCCAGGGACAGTGTCCCCAAAAGTGGTGCGAGATGAACATGGACTCATTTAGAGTGACAAGGGAAGGAACCTCTTCCCTCAGGGTTAAGTTCTTTTTTTGTTTGTTTGTTTTTATTGTTTTTCAAGACAGGGTTTCTCTGTGGCTTTGGAGGCTGATCTGGAACTTACTCTAGGCTGGCCTCGAACTCACAGAGATCCACCTGCCTCTACCTTCTGAATGCTGGGATTAAAGGCATGAGCCACCAATGCCCGGCCAGGGTTAAGTCTTTAATTCCAGTTGAAACTGTGGCTGTTCAGGGTCACACGCTCCGTCCAGGTGTGACCGGCTAGTGGTATTACTGGAAGATAGAGGTGTAGGAGAGCTGTTGTTTTATTAGAGAAACAGTTTGGTAAATGTGGGTCCAAGGGCTGGGGGCGTGGGTCAGTGGTAGAGTGCTTGCCTGGTGTGCATGAGGTCCTGGGTTTAACTCCCATACCACCAAAAAAGTTGTGTGTGCCAGCTTGAAGCTTGGTCCCTTTCTCCTGAAGCCTGGGGGCTGGGTATTATGTGAATGATGGTGTCTATTAAGTGAACCATTCATGAGCAATTAAAAAATTCCTTCATACATTGCTAAAGTAAGATCCGGAGGCATTTCTTACTATTGGTCCTCTAATAGAAGTTTCTGTTCTGCCTCCTCTTGGGAAAGCTTGGGAAAAATGCTAAGGTGGGGTCTCCTAACACCCCACCTACCCTTGCTCCAAGCCTATCCAGAAAGAGGTGGGTGGGGTCCTTTGGCTGCTGTCCATGGTGCTGACATCAGTTTGGCTTGTGGGTGTAGGAACCCTGGTTGCCCTGGGGTGGTCTGACTTACTTCCAAGTGTGAGTGAAGAGAGACCTGGTGCTGAGCTGTCCATCTCACTGGTAGGAAATTCTACCAGAGACATAGGTCTCTACTTCCTCCCATCAGGGAACAGAGGGGTCAGACTTGATTGATTTGTTGTTAACGGAAGAGTTCGCGGCGATCAGATGGGGAACAGAAAACTAGTGATTGCTAATGTCTGTGCTGGCAGAAGGAACTCGGGTAGATAAGACACACATGGGACTTCTGGGCCAAGTCTAGGATGTTCTTCATGGTGGCTCTTCATGGAAGCTTGGGCATGCTTAAGAACACATACACACATATCCAAGGCCGACTTTCCCCTCTCCTGCAGCACCAATGGAGTTCTTGGGATGGGGCCTGTGCACAGCTATCAATATAATCTCTTGCCTGTTTCCAAGTTTGAGAGGGGTCATAAACACTGCTACCTCTTTAAAGTGGCATTTCTGTCTAGTCACTGGGCAGCACAGGAGGGTCTATGCTTTATTGACTCCAGGGTAACAGGTCTCATTGCTTAGGTTATACTCTCTCTTCCGGCTCAGATCTGCTAAAACTCAGGTATTTTATGTTCAAGTTGAACTTGGTGGTGGGTGAGTAGAAGCCGATACTGAGCATACAGGAGAGACGAGAGAAGGAGTAAGGGATGCACAAAGGCTTCCAGATGTGCCCTGCTTCTCTAGATCACGCATGGTTGGATCCCTTTGAAAGTCTACGGCTGACGGTTTCTGTGGTTAGGGAGCCATGTTTTGGAGGGGGTAGAGAAAGTATGAGGCAGCACCTACACCCAGCTAATTGGAGTGGGAGGGAGGGAAGGAGAAAGGCAAGTCCCAACATGAGGAGGGTAATCTGGGAGCTGTACAGAGTGCTGAGAGATTGTTTGGATGGTGGATGAGTTAATCTGGGTATATCACAAGGGGAGTACTGTGTGCAGTCTAGGAGGGTGGCCAGAGAGTTCTGGGTTCTCTTGCCCTGGCCCCTTCTGCCTCAGACTCCAGGGCTCCTGGCCACCTCCCATTCTGCCTTCATCCCACCTGGCTGACTCCATTTCCCTACCAGTATCCCTGTCTTTGTTTAAAGGGGGCAAAGAGGACATCCTAGGATGCCCTTCGATTCTGGTGGTCCAGGTTCCAAAAGCTCTTTTCTCGCCATGGTCAAGCCACCGCTAACCCATATCAGCAAAACCGTTAGCACCCAGACCCATTTTCCAACTTAGCTACTATACTTTCTGTTCACCACCACCTCTTAATATGTTCCAGGAATCCAGACTTGGCTGCTCCCACTGCACGTAGAAACACGCCTGGGTTTGTCACAAAACACTCTTCCAGACAGATCACCCAGACCTCCCATTGTTGAGGGAGTTATTCCCAGGATCTGAGAAGCCAAGGCAGGAGACGGAGGTCAGGGTCTTGCCAGGAGTGGAAGAAAAGTAAACCCAAAGCCAAGGAGTAAACATTTTATTTTAAAACTTAATAATATAATTAAGTTTTTTCAATATAAAAAAGAAGACAGACTGAGGAGGTAGGAGCAAGCCAAAAGATGGCTTGTAAAAAGTGGTGCAGACCCACTTTAGAGTGGCTGAAGGTCCAAGGGGAGCCTAAAAAATACCATAAACTAGGCTAGGACAGGCTCACTTTGCTAGGGACAAGATGAAGAGAGAAACAAGGTGGGGGACAGAGCCTGGTGAGTGCCCATCCCTCCTGACACAAGGCCCAGATTCAATCTGAGAATGTCCATGGTGTCCTGCAGCCAGAGAAAGACCCTGACGGGAAATACAGAGGCTGATAAATCTGGAAGTGGTAGTTCATGTCTGTAACCCCAACACTTGGGGAGGTGAGGTAAAGAGGGTTGTGAGTTCAAGGACAGTGTGAACTAAAAAAGCCCAGTGGACCAATGAGGCTTCATCACTCTTCCCAAAGAGCTCACTCACATGCTTAGGAAGAGACCCAACCAGGTGCCCAGCAGATGCACAATCACTTAGCTCATGCCACGGTAAATGCTTAGACAGCATGTCAGTGAACACAGTGTAAACGCAGGAGGAATGGGTTGAATCCTTCCCAGGCCACCTAGGGTTGTTAGTTAACATCCAAGTTGGCCTTTAAGGATATGTTAAAATCTAATGGCTTTGGGCCTTGAAAAATGACCAGGAGAAATACTGAGCAGGAGAAAGGAGCTTGGGCTCTGTGAAGACCTGCTGAGTCAGACCAAGTACATGCTTCACACATAGGCCAGGTCCTGCTTCCTCAGGTTTGCTCGGCCAAGCAGGCCTCAAGGGAAAGTGTGCCTCTCATGCCCAATAAAGAATGTCCAGTTTGGAGAGATGACAACTTCTTCCTTCCATAGGACTATCTGTCTACAAACTGAAGGTTGATGCTCCTCTCAGGTACCAGGACAGTCCGGGTCATTGGTCTGACTGGGAGAGCACCTGGCTCAGGGAGCACCTCAAAGTGGGTCAAGATCTAGAAAGGGAGGAAGAAGTTTATCACTGTGGGTGGGTCTAAAATGGAGCCTTGATTGGTAAAGGACATTATTAGCATTAGAATTGCTGGAATGGCATCTGTGGCCAGTAAGGGACTTCTTGGTCAATGAGGGCAGGAGATTATGGAAGGGAAAATGATAGTCCAAATATCTTTGCTTATACTCCGGACCTCTAATGGAACTGCCAATGGGACTGTCTGCTGAGTCTTACCTGTTTCACTATATCTGTCAGAGGACAAGAACACCCATGTTTATTGGGCCTTTCCAATCAGGGGATGGTATAAGTTCTAGACCACTTACCTGAGCCAAAGCCATTTGTAACTCAAGCTCCGCCAGGCGTCTCCCTATGCAGCTGCGTTTGCCAAAGCCAAAAGGAAGAGATGCAAACGGGTGTGGGGCTGGGCCTTCCCCCAGCCAGCGAGCTGGATTGAAAGAGTTTGGCTCTGGAAACTGTGCGGGGTCCCTTGAAGTGGCATAGTGACATAGAGAGATGAGCGTCTGGTGGGGGAATAAATGCAAACTTGTCAGTCAGTAGCCAGGTTTTATGTCACACTTGGAATTCTAGCCCTCAGGAAACAAGCAAGAGGATGGTGAGTTTAAGGCCAACTGAGGCTACATAGCAAGATCCCATTTTCAACACCCCTCTCCCTCACCCCAAAAGCACAGATTTATCAGCAGAGCCTGACAATGCAGGATGGGGGACTGTGAAGAAGAGGGTCCGGGACTAGTTTAAAAGTAGGCCCTGCCTGGTGGTGAACTTTTTTTTTACTGTTCCATTCTATCTCAGAAAGAGGTATCATGATTAAGAAGGGGTCTGGAAAGGCTTTGGGGAGTGTCTGAGGATGGCTTGGGCAGACGGGGGTAAGTAATGGCTTAGCAGAAGGATCTACTCACATTTTGGGGGATAATGTAGTCACCTAGGCAGATGTCTCTGTCTGGGACACGGGAATTCCCAGGTACCACAGGGTACAGTCTAGGTGACAAAATAAAAGATGGGTTCAGTAGGGGACCTTGGCTCCCCATCCTCAGGGGCGGAGTGCCAGTGTTATCTCTTTTCACTCTGCTTCCATCCACGGTCAGCTTCTTTACTTCTCTAGCATTTTCTCTAGTTTCTACTTTTCTTTCCCCTCACCTTAACACTTCTTTTATCACAGCCTTCAACAAGCGTAGCTGAGACAGAGCAGTAGCTTGGGGGTGGGCACCCGAGCCAGGGGCCATGGCAGCTGTGATCTCAGAGTGAAGTGCCGACTGGATTTCTGGGTGCCGGGACAGTTCGTAGAGCGTCCAGGAGAGTGTATTGGATACCTGGAGGAACAGGTGAGATCATCTGAGGTGTTAGACATGGGAATCTCGGTGAGGGGGCAGCATAGGGAGGGCGGTGGTCAGGGACTAAAAAAAATTAGTGTGGCCAAGCCTGGAAACATGACCAGGGTGGATCCCCTGAATCAGAAAAGTGGCCCTAGAGCCAGGGGGAAATGACACTCTGGAAGTGGGACTAGAATGAGCCTCACCGTGTCCACTCCAGCTAGTAGTAGCTCTGTCACGTTCCCCACGATGGACTGGACAGACAACTTTTCCCGAAAAAGGAAGTGGGTTAAGTGATGACCAGAAGGCACGTCCTCCTCAGGCTTTCCCAGTTTCCTCATGGCTGCTTCGCCTTCTCTCTGCTCCACGTGTTTCTGGGCTGAGAAGGAAGGCACACCGATGTGCAGCTTTAGAAAATCCAGCACCCCACCCCTGACACCACACACACACACATACACACACACACACTTCTGTGCCTTACCAAAAGCAAACATCTGGTTCCAGTCTCGGCAGAGGCGGGCCCAGGGTCCGGGTACAAGGCGGTGCATCCAGTTGGGCATTGCCATGGTCAAGAGTGTGGACACAAACACCGAGCCCACCGCATGGATGAAGGTCTCTGTGTCGGGAGGGACTTCAGCCTCCAGGCATCCCAGGCGCGAACCCAGCAGCACCGCGCCTATGCCTGGCCGGAAGGTGGCGCAGTCAGACACCAGGCGTCTCGGGACCCTGTGCCACCTACACCTGTTCCCGACTCTGTTTTAGGATTCACCTTCTAGGCCAAATTTGTAAAACTCTCCCGCCACGTCCTGAACTAGGTTGGGTAGCCCAGAGCCACGTCCCCGCTGGCGCCTCAGTCGTCGCACCAGGTCATGGACCACGTTGTCCAGAGTTCCAGCATAGCCAGCGGCTGCTTGAGGCCGGAGGAGTAGCGGGGCCAGGAGACTCCGGAGCCTCTGCCATTCTTCGCCATCCCTGCCCGGGTGCGGAGAGCGCGCATTAGGGGAGGTGAGCGTGTGTGGAAGACGCTAGGGTGACCAGAAGTATTGCCCCTCTTCCCTCTGACTGTAGGAAGCTGCCCCAGACCTTGCCCGTCTTCCATCTCCCTTCCTCTTTACTTATTTCCTGCCCGCGGATGGGAGTGGGTCACAGATGCTTACATTCCCACTCCGTCCAGATGCCAGTACCCTGGCCCATCCCACCGGTTCTTAGGATTCTGACCTCAAAGGTGGGGCGAGTGGAGAGGACTCAACTGTACCTGAGTTTGGGCAGTACAGACTGGAGAACCCGGAGATGCCAGGAGGTTGGTAGAAACTGCCCACCTCCCTCCAAGCCCATCTTGGCCAGCCTACAGGAGTTGTGTAGGGATGGGGGACTGGAGATCAGGGGGTCGACTCACGCTGTTAGCAAGCCGCAAGCCCGCTGGTGGCGGCGACGGTGCTCCGCCCAAGATGAGAAGCTGCAGCGCTCGGGACAGGGACTCTCCTGTCGCAGTAGCTGCTCCACAAGTGCCGGGGAGGCCACGTACACCGTGAGAAGGGTCCCGAAGCTGCCGGACCATATCGGTCCGTAGCGCGCTGCTCCCTGCACCTGAGAGAATACGCATAGAGGATGTTTGAACACTGGGGAGGGTGACTCTCAGTTTGGCTTGTGCCAAGGCCAAGGGCATTGGCTAGGCTTGGGAAAGGGGAGCTTTTTCAGTACCGGCCCAGATGCGGCTAACTTTTTCTTCCATCTCATGAAAGTTTGAGCGGGAATGGCAAAATAGAGAAACTTTGCATAAAGCAGACATTGAGGGCTTCTCTTTAGTTATCTGGCTCCAGCCTAGGGGGAGCAGTTTCTTCAAGGCTCCTCTGTTGGATTGCACCTCAAGATCAGCCTCCAGTAAGAGAAAAGGAACGCGCAGCTTTAAGCCAGATCTGAAGGATAGTACATCACTCTCACCCCTCCCGCACTCTTGTCCTAGATCTGCAGGTTTCCCGTCTATAAAGTGAGAGTAATCCCTTTGCCGGATGTAGGTATAGACTGTGGGGCAGTAGAACCATCTCTAGTTCATAACCCACAGGTACCCATTCTCACTGGCCCTTCTTCCTGTGTTCCTCACTGTTGTCCTTTCTGCCATTAAAGCTAGTTTTCCCGGCTCAGTCCCACCAATAGGCAAGGACTGCCCGTCTTACCTGCAGTTCATGTAGCCTGGACATCCCCCCTTTGCAGAAAAGTTCTGCCAGGAAGCCAGGCATAGAGGGCCCAGGGATGTCAGACAAATTCCGGAGACCGGAGTCGGAACCCCTGGAGGCCAGAGAGGCATCCAGCTTTGGAGGCAGGTGGACTCGATTGAGCACTCTGGAGGCGAGCTTGACTGACTGGGTCATGTTTAATGTTCGGGGAGCCAGCCACACTTCTCCAGGGCATCTTTTGCTTTTGCCTGAACCCCTTTATAACCCTTGGCCCTGGAGGTGAGGACGCCCCTCTCCAGCTCTCCAGCCAATCCCTTTTGCAGGGTGGTCTGTGCAGGAAGGCAGCACCCAGCAATGGTAGGCGGGGCTTGGGCTGACTCCCTGTGGTAAGGATTCCATCAGAGCTGCCACAGTGCTCGCTCCTACTAATGCCTTGGTCCAGGGCAGCAGCCTAAAGTTCTCTCCCTGGAAAAGGCTATTTTATGGGTTTCAAAAGCCAGTACCTCATATTCCCACCACCTCTCTGGGGACCCAAGTCTCTTCAAGCCTATTCTTAGGAATTCTTCATTCTCTATTACACCCTGAATGGAAACTAGATGGAAGTTGGTTTCAGCTGTTCCCATGTTCTTGACTCCTTAGATTGTCCTTTCTCTGCTGTGGGATTTACCTGCACTAGCCACACCTCTCCTCCTCCCACGCCTGACACATAGAGGTAAGGCCATGTATGGGTTAATAGGTTAAGATGATACCAGCCACCTTCATCTTTTATTATTATCTTTTGTATTTGAAATTTGTTTTTATTTATTTATTATGTATACAGTCTTCTGCCTGCATGCCAGAAGAGGGCACAAGATTTCATTAAAGATGGTTGTGAGCCACCATGTGGTTGCTGGGAATTGAACACAGGACCTCTGAAAAAGCAGCCAGTACTCTTAACTGCTGAACCATCACTCCAATCCCTTGGATTTGTTTATGTGCATGATTTTCCCTAATGCATTTGTGATGTCTCTCTGGTGCCAGTGGAAGTCAGAAGAGGGAGTGGATCTCCTGAAACTGGAATTATGGATGGTTGTGAGCCAACTGCAGGTGCTGGGGACTGAATCCAGCTTCTCTACAAAAGCAACAAGTGCTCTTAACCTTTTCTTTTCAAAGATTTTAAACTATGCATATGCATGTTGGTTTGAGTATGTGTTTTCCTGCAGCTGCCTGGAATCCAGGAAGACACTGGATCTCCTGGAACTGGAGCTACATACAAGCATCTGTGTACCACCCCCCCTTGGGTGCTGGGATTTGATTTCCAGTCTTCTGTAAGAAGACTGAGTGCTCCTATCCACTGAGCCATCTCTCCAGACTCCATCTTTGTTTCTTTGGGTATAGAGTGTCTTAGCTCAATAAGCCCCTTCCTTTAGCCAGGCAGTGGTGGCGCACGCCTTGGAGGCAGAGGCAGGAGGATCTCTGTGAGTTCGGGGCCAGTTGTGGTCTTCAAAGAGAGTTCCAAGACAGTCTACAAAACCTACAGAGAAACCCTGTCTTGAAAAACAAACTAACAAAGAAAACAAAACAAAAACAAACAAAAAAAGCCCTTTCCTTTCAGACACAGGGTGGTGTGTGTGTGTGTGTGTGTGTGTGTGTGTGTGTGTGTGTTTGAGGAACAGAAATGAAGGCATGTTTTAGGCTCAGCAAGTAAATGTACTGGACACAAAAGCTGATGGCCTGAGTTTGATCCCAGGGACACACACATAGTGAACAATGAGAACTGACCACATTGGGTTGTCCTCTCACCAACCCCTCACCTCCTACACACAAAGAAATGTAAGTAATAATAATACACACCAGGTGGTGGTGGTGCACGCCTTTATCCCAGCACTTTAGAGGCAGAAGCAGGCAGATCTCTGAGTTCGAGGCCAGCCTGTTCTACAGAGCAAGCTCCAGGACAGCAAGAGATACACAGAAAAACTGTCTTGAAAACCCAATAATAATAAATAATAATACAAAGGTTTTTTTTTTTTTTCCTTTCTTTCTTACAAAGTTTGGAGACTGTTGTGTTTGGACAGGATGGAGGCTAAGCATACCCTGAACCCCAAGCTCACTCAACCTTTTTGGGATCTTTGTGGTCAGCAGCCTCTGAGTGCTCTGAGCCACAGAATCCTACAGTTCAGGGGCAAGAGTGATGATCAGCAGTTAAGAGACCAGCTGCTCTTACAGAGGAGCAGAGTTTGATTCCCAGTACCCATGTGGCAGTTCACAACCATCTGTAACTCCAGTTCCAGGAGACCCAACTCCCTTTTCTGGCCCTCAAGGGCCCAAGCACAAGTGTGGCACACATATCTATATGTAGGCAAATACTTATACACATACAAATAATTAACATTTTTTTCCCCAGTTTAGCTCCCTGCTCATCTGCCTTTTCCCCTCCTCCTTCCCTCCCTGGCCCCATCAGGTGCCATGCCAGTCAGTCAGCTTTGAAGTTCTGGTATCAAAGGTCAACATGGTAAAGCCAGGGGTCTCTACACTCTTGTCCTCCAATACTACAGAGACAGCAACAGCAGCAGCAGCAGGGATGGCCCCGGGTCAGATTTTAAGTGGGGAGAAGATGGGGGAGGCACGTGATACACACCCCAGCCTCTCTGGGAAACAGCAGCATGGGCACGTGGGCACACACCTTATCCTTAGGACTGCAGAGTAAACACAAGGGGGGGGGGGCAGACATGGGGAACAGGGACCTGAGCCAAGCATGCAGGCAGCTCAGACAGCGGGCATTGCACTCTTCACTCCAGCTGAGGAGAAACCCCACGAGGAGGAGGGAGGGCTGAGGGAGAACAAAATCCCCACAGTCCTCCAAATACAACCTCTGGATCAAGGTCCTCTGACCTTCTCAGTCAGCTTCTTTTGCTTTCTTCTGACAGTGAGGGGCAAGAAAGCAGTAAGAGTCAGCGATGGGTAAGAACACAGGCTGCACCCGGCTTCTCGGAGAGAGATTATGGCCTCAGTCCCACCAGGTGTGAGAAGGCCTGGGATGGGGAGCTGATCTTTTTTCCCAGTCACTAGAAGAGTGAGCCCAGCTAAGGCAGGGTAAGAAGTCAGTGGTCAGGCAGGGTGGGGTTGGGGGTCACTGCTTGGAGGATTGGATCCTGGATTCTTCGGAAGATGGCTGGGAAATTCTTCCCTCCATTTCGTAGAACTTTCTTTCCTTCCTCGGTTGAAGTGCCCAGATGTTCCACAATGGGATCCTCACTCTGCAGAAAGAGGGTCTGAATGTCCCTGCCCACCTTTCAAACCACCCTGACTCTCTAGACTCCCACTTTCCTGGCCCTGAGCTACATTCAAGGACTATAGGACCACTCTGAATAGGCCTGAATTCTTGGGATTTCCTTCAGGCATCCTACTTACCAGTTCTTCCAGGGGCACACGCTCAAACAGTGGGTGCTCTTCAAAATGGGTGCACATCCATTGGTGCAGCTCCAGCACGTCGGTGATGGTGTACACCAGCCCCTGTATAGCAACATCATTCTAGATATGGCTGCAGGCGACCGATCAATGAGGTGACAGCCTGACAGTCTGAGTGCCTAGTGCCTAAGTGCTCCCCTCGCCCCCCATTACTTCTTGGTGAAGTCCCCGGGTAGGCCACTGACACCATCTTCCTCCACAGCTCACCCCAACTCTCAGCACGTAGGCGTATTCTGCCAGGAGTGTGGCGCTGATGATTCGCCACTTATGCTTCGTTCGCTTAAAATGTGGGTCGGGGAAGAGGAAGAATAGCTTCGTCAGCTGTGGGACAGACGGGCACCAATAGGATGGCTTATGAGTGCCTGGCTTCCGAGTTCCACCGGCCCTGCCAGCCTACCCACCGGGCGGCTCCCCAGGCTGCACCTGGCCCTTGCGGAAGAAGTTAGGAAGGTGCTTCATGGCGTTACTGCGGAGACAGGCAATGTTCTGGAATCCACCTCCAGGAGCTGCACGTAGGGCCCGAATCCTGTCTTGTACATAGTCTGACACCTTTACCCGAATCTCCAGACCCAGAATCAGGGTATCTGGGAAGAGTGGTGATAGTGCCACTGGGGACAGCAACACAATGGGATCATCAGTGTCGTGTTTTGAGGAAGTACAAAGAGGTTAACATGGGAAAGAAAGTTTCTGTCTGTAGATATCTAAGTCAGGAGTGCGGCAGAATTCTCTGCAGGACAGAAAAGACACAAAACTGTCACACTTGTTTCTCAGGAGCAGGGTATGGTGGCTCATGCCTTTAATCCTAAGCACTGGATATAGGGTAGGGGGGGCAGAGGTAGGCAGGATCTGTGAGTTCAAAGGCAGCCTGCTCTTATATAGCAAGTTCCAGACCAGACAGGGCTACATAGTGAGACCCTGTCTCAAAAAATAAAATAAAACCAACATCAAAAAGATCTGTCATACAGACTAGAAGAAAGGGGCAGAAACTACAGGTACAGTTTGCATTTGCTTTAGAGTAGTGGTTCTCAACCTTCCTGATGCTGAGACCCTTTAATACAGTTCTTCATGGTGTCACGATCCAACCATAAAATTATTCCATTACTACTTCATAAGTGTAATTTTGCTACTGTTATGAGTCGTAATGTAAATATCTGATATGTGACCACAAAGGGTCTTGACCCACAGGTTAAGAACCAATGCTTTAGAATTTTCATAACAAAGCTGAGTTTATAATTTTCTTTCTTTTTTTTTTTTTTTGAGACAGGGTTTCTCTGTGTACCTTTGTAGACCATGCTGGCCTCCAACTCACAATAAAGATCTACCTGCCTCTGTCTCCCGAGTACTGGGAAAGGCATGAGCTACGACTGACTGGCTTTTTTTTTTCACACTCTGTGGTAGACTGTGAAGGTGGAGACACTGAGGGTCAGAAATGTCCAGGATCACAGAACTAACAAGAGAGGAAGCTGGGGCTCGAGGCAACACTTCCAGTCTCTACTGTGCTCTTCCTCTCTGTTATACTGTTATCTATCAATAGGGGAATGCTGAAACTCATAGGTGAGTGGTTGGCATGCATGCTCTGGAAAACAAAGACAATATAACAGGAACCCCCCCAAAACATGAGAGAGTGGGGCAGAATGTGTTCTGGTGAAGAAGGGGGTCAAAGGGGGAAGCTGGTGGAATCCCCAAGAAAGACAGTTCAGGATCAGTGGCCATGGAGGCTGATCTCTGACGCTTGTGCTGACCCGTTCACTGACCCAGCACGGGGCAGGTGAAATGGCTCATGGAGGGGCTGGAGCCAGACAGAACCACCCAGGTTCTAAGATACATTTGAGGCAGCCCCTCCCTTCTCCAGGGCAAAGGCCACAGACCCAGAGTCTCCGCACTGATGTCACTGCTGTCTGGTCGCCAGAGGAAAGGTCCACTAACCCTGACTCTGACCTGCTTAGATGGCAGAACCCAGGCCTCTCCTTGTCCCAGGGAAAGGGCCAGCACATTACCTAACAAACCGCCATAGCCACAGCCTATGTCTGCAAACTCCACTTGGGTCCCAGCTTGCTTTTCTTTTGCATCTTTTGGATCATCATGGCTCTTATTCTGAGTAAGGGGAGCAAAGAACTCTGGGTAAAGCTCAGACCAGTCCATCTCCTCTGGCTTCACAGGGCTGTTGGAAAGAAGATATGAGACATAAGAGACTGTTGGACACGCCATTGCAGACGTGCTTGTGTAGGGGTGGGAGGGGGATGGTAGATTTCTCAAAAAAAAAAAAAAATCTAGAGTCGAGGGCCATGTGGTGTCCAGAAGGCATGAAGGAAAGTCCCCTGGCTCCCAGGGTGTGAATCACAGTCCCTTCATGAGGCTATGATAGCTGACTTGCCAATGTGTACTTCTGGGTGCTGATGTGTCAGGGAGCTCCTCAAGTTCTTTCTCCCAGACACTGACTGCCTAAGGCATTGTGACACTACTTTGTTGGTGTGTTTTCTGTGGAGAGAATGAAGCAAGGAGTAGCCAGGAGTGTATATATGTCTATCTTTTTAATAAATTAAGAAAACCCAAATGGGAGCCCATCGTGGTGGCTCACGCCTTTAATCCCAGCACTCGGGGGACAGAAGCAGGCGGATCTCTGTGTCCGACCCAGCGAGTTCCAGGACAGCCAGGGCAGGTTACACAGAGAAAAACCTGTCTAGAAAAACCAAAACAAAATTTAAAAAAAAATCGGAAGATGGAAATGACAACTTGTTTCGAGTCTTCATTTTAATTTCAGCAATCATTTTTTCCTCTTCTCAGGTTTGGTTGGCAAGACTTTATCTACAGCACCACGACCCCTCCCAGGCGGTCAACTCCGCCTTCCGCTAAGTCTAACCCATCCTCAACTGACGTGTCATCCGGACCATCCTCCCAGGTCCGTCTCAGGTCCTAGCTCTGGTGCCAGCACGGCGCTCGCCCGCCAGCCCGGCTCGCCCGCCCTCCCGGACCCCGCCGGGTTCGCTCACTAGCACAGCGTGTGGTCCGCCATGGGGTTGGAGTGGGCGCGCTGCCGGTAATAGCGCTTCTGCGGCTGGGGGGCCTCGGTTCCCGCCATGATGCCTCCGCATCCACGTGGAGATCCGAGGCTTCGGGCGCACGTTGATGACGCAGACCGCCAGCAGGCCCCGCCTCTTAAAGAAACAATGACGAAGAAGTCTGCCGAACCCTGACGGGTGGACCCCGAAGGGAGAGGGCGCGGGAGAGCAAGCGCGCTGCTGGTTTCTGAGCTTGCAGGAAGACCAGCTCCTGGCACCCCGCCTTTTCTTCTGGCTCGCATTTGCATCGTCCTGGCTCCCAGATGCCTACAGGCACCTGTGCGCCCCACAGGTGAGACAGATGTGAGGGACCTGCCTCTGACAGTCCATGCAAGCATCATTTAGTTCTTCTCCCTCCTGATGGTCTCAAACCAAGTCATCCTGGTCTGACGTGTGTGGCACTGCGTGGGTCCTGTCCTGTGTGCGCCCGGGACCCGAGCTCGGGGGGTAGGGGGTGGGGTCGTCCCCATCCATCTCCAGGAAGTCCAGCTGGAGGAAGGAGGGCGATCTGGGGAGGCGGGGCCCGGTGCCTGGGAGCAGCCCATATGGCTGACGGTCCCCAGTCTCGAACCAGCGGGGGAGTCGGATCCGAGCTCTGGCCGAGGTGCTCGGTTGCTCTCTCTGCCTGATGGCCAGCTCCCGCCCGGATCCTGAGCCCGAATCCGTGTTCCCTCGGGAGGTCCGGCTCTTCACCGACTCTTACTCAGAGAGCAGCCGGTTCTGCTTCTGTGGGCACGAGCTGAGCATCACGCAAAACTTTGGGTCGCGCCTTGGGGTGGCGGCACGCGTGTGGGATGCGGTGAGGAAGGGGCTGCCCTAAGGGGGGGTCCCTGGGAGGTCC